CCACCTCGATTGGTTTTGGTCTACGTGGACGATGTCATGGTCTTCGGCAGCGACGGCATCGTGGAGAAAGGGATTCAAGCCTTCCAGCTGCAGTGGGAGACATCGAGGCCGACGTGGGTGGGTCCAGATGAACCGGCCCGCTTCTGCGGGCTCGAGGTCCGCCGCATGGACAACGGCGTCTTCTTTGAATACCAGTACAGCTACATCAAGGAAGTGTTGAAAAGGCATAAGCTGAAGGATGTGGCCAGTACACTGGTGATGAAGAAGAGCAAGTCAAAGAAACTCAGCAGCTGGCAGGAAAACTCCTCCGGTTGGCATCGGAGACTAGGCCAGAGCTGGCAGAATCTTTTTGGCTACCAGTAGGGCGCCAAAGTGGGCGAAGGAGACGGCCCACCAGGTCATCAAGAACCTGAACGCCACCATCGGCTTGGGACTATCGTATATAGTGTAGGCATGGAGCCAACTTTATCCTGGAGTCCCTTGCTCCAGGCGGACCACATTCATGGATGCGTGATTATCACGGTTGGAGGCACTCGCGTGGCTTGGAAGAGATGCAAGCAGCCATTTCCGGCTCTCTCGACGGCTGTAGCCGAGTTGATCGGGGTGATTGAGGCGGTGGTAGTGGGTGACAGCATCTCCTGCATGGTTGATGAGGTGACTGGAGGAATCGCCAAGTTCCTGAAGTGCGACAACACGGCAGCTGTCTCGATTGCCAGTTCGGCGACGGGAGCTTGGAGGACCAGGCACCTGAAGGTGAGAGCAGCTCAGCGGTGGAAAATCCCAGTCTGGCATGTGGGAGTTCAAGTATCAGCCGGGACGGGACCTCATCGCAGATGTCGGCATCAAGACATTCCCAAAGGCGAGGATGACTGAGATGAGGAAAAACATCTCCATGGGGTGGCAACCTTGTACGGTAGACGCAGTCCATCAGGAGGATGAGGGCATCGTGGCACCAAGAGCGAAAAGACTGGTGGCGTGCTACAACCCGTCGAAAGCGACAAAGTTGGTTGTAGCATTGAGAGCACTACAGCGTGTTCACGGAGCGGTGCAAGAGGACTCCACGAACTCGTTAACACCGGACACGGAGGAGGGCAACTACATCCTCATGGTGTTTGGAGCTGTTATGCTACTCATCGGAATGGTTTGTTGACATTGAACATTCTTTGAGAAGATTCGACGGGTTTGGCAAGCGGAGGCTCCGAATCCGCCTTCTATGATATTGATTTCTTCCAGGGAGGCCTCTCGGCTCTACGTCAAATAGCTCGTCATATCACCTTTGCGGATCTCGAGGGTGCAGGTCATTGGCACGACGAGGGCAGTTCAGCATTAGGTCCAAGAAATGCACCCCAGAGCGTGGCCTTGGTGACCACTACCGGTGGAAGAAGAGAAGCAGATATCGCCGAGCCGCAGGAAGAACCCCCTACTGCATCGACGAGGAGTGATCGACTTCAGGAACGAAGAACCTGGTGGGAACTGGCATACTTTGCGCTATCGGGCAAGCGTTTTCACAAGCAGCGAGATCGCAGAGGGTTTTGTCGCGCCAATGAAGTCGAGGGCATTGCGGTGTGCCACGGCTGCCGGAGAGCTGGTCAAAGACCCTACAACAGGGTAGTGTGGCTGTACCAGGATGGTGTGGGACACTTGCACACTGATCCCAGGTGCAGCACCGTAATCGGCAGCATGCAGGACATTCGTGCCTGTTGCATTTGTGGAGGTAGTGTATGGACGGCTTGACCAGGGCATAGAACAGCTCTAAGATCTGGGAGGAGTGCAGGAAAGACATGCGCAAATCTACAAGTGTACCAAAATGTACGGCGCAAGCCGTTTTTACATCAAGGACTGCGAGAAAAGAGGTGCCGCAGTCCGCCCGCAACCAGAACTGATGCTATTGGACAATTGTGATCCTTTTCCAGGCGAGCTAGTCCCCAATGACAACAAGTCCTGTGGGTAAGTTCTCCCCAACGGAACTTTCCATGGTGTGGACGTGTTCCTGAGTGATAACGCAAGGGCTATCACTTGTTTGTGCACTTGGTTTGATCAGGGCGCCTTGTCAGGGCCTTTCGTCAGGGCGCCTCATGCAGCTTCCTGTGGTGCAAGAATTTGGTGCATGCTCTTCACTCGACCGTTCATGACTTTTCACTTCGCTATGCTCCAGAGTGGGTGTAGTTGCGAGATCGACGCGAGCTCGCGATGGTGAGGAGACAGTCCTTCGCGGTTTTGTGCAGTTCATGCCAGCAGAACTGTTGCAAATATCCGATGGATTACCAGATTCGGATCCTTTGTCGACGGCTTATGAGCAGTTTCATGGACATTCTAGACAGATACTGTACGTTAACAAGTTTCGCGGACTCTGCACGGAAACGACATTTCTTTGCAAGAGAATCTTGTGGCTTTGTTGATGGTCAGTTTGGCCCAACTTTCGTGACATCAGGGAAACACTTTGACTTTCTTTGATGCACTTTGTGTGTTGGAGCTACTAAGCACCACCAGAGATAGAGCCCGCACTAAAGCTGTGGGGCTGGCAACAACCAGAAGATGTCTTGTCAAAGGCTACATCCGGACCAGGAGGCACAGAGTCAGAGGCATACCCTGACACAATGGAAGCGAGGGAACTCGAGATTGTTTCCGGCCAGGCCATTCTACTGTGAAAAGTCAGGAAGCACTGGGAAACATTCCGGCGGTGACGCCACAGGTTGTTTTGAGGGGAGGGTCTCACACCTAGTAAACCAGAAGTGTGCATTGTTTTAGTCATGTTGTAAAAAACAATGGTTTGTAAAATAATGACACTTTCTCAACTTCACAGATCCCAACATACACTTTTGGGTATTTCACAACATTCCAAACATGTTACATGAGAAACCGGATCCAAAGGGTTCCCAGCCACCGGGCTCAAAAGAAACACCCGTCCAAAAGGCCGAAATCGGCGGAACAAAGGCAGAAATACCCGGACAAAAATATGGCCCAAGTTTGTCAGGTTTGAAGGGTCTCTGTGTCCACTGAAATGGGCCAGGAAGACACGATAGCACTTTTCACTCCCGATTACACTTTTGCTTGAAAGAGTATGTTTTTTGCTTCCAAATCAGCCGATGACAAAAAAAGGCAACGTTTGGTTTTCAAGGCAATATCACCTTGTGTTGTTTTCTGTGCCCCTTTGTAGAACCAGCGGCTGTGAACGCACTTAAATGCTTTTGACCGTAAGAGGGAAACTGCGAAATTGCCCGCCAGTACCGAAACCAGAAATTGCACTTATATAACAGACGGTCGGCAACGATACGACCAGAAACCGAAGAACAAGGAGTCTACCGTCACAACGAGTCAAGCCTCAACATCCTCAACCAAAAGGATCCAAAGGGGGGTCACCTCAGGCTCATGGGCCCAGGCTGAGCTGAACATGCCGGGGCGCAGCAGCGCAGCATGCACATGTTCAGAACTACAGAGTGTGTTGGCCCTGTCAGCCGCCTGCAAATGAGCCGGCTGTCTATAGAGCGGGGGGGAAGGGAAGGGAAGGGATGTCGTCCAAGTGCCGAAAACGGCGTAGCACGGTAGCTACCTAGGACCAGTGCCCCATGCAGTATGACCGTGTCGCCTGCGGCCAATGGACAATGGACCCGCAAGGGGGTTCTGTGCAAGACATGGACCAATGGACCTTGAGGCCAGCAAGGTCCATTTTATGGCTTTCGATTTGCACTACTAGTAGCTTCTAGCTACTAGTAGTAATGCCCTTGTTACTAGTTATAGCTGTTGCACTGGGGTCAGATTGGTCAGGGTTTCCCGCTGGGTTGTGGCTTCGTGCTTCGCAGTATTGATCTAACGAAGTCAAGAGCGGCAAAGCGTCAACAACGCGGCAGCGACGCGGCAGCTACGCGGCAGCGCTAACTTCGATGCGCCTCTCGTGTCGGTGGCGAGTCAAGCATTCGACTGGCGCGCCACGCTTCACAGTAATGGCCGCTTCACCAGCCATCCTGGCCCACAAAGTAGGACTTACCAATAGGCAACGAACAGCCCAAACGCCATCCTCTGCTTGGCGAAAGTCAAAGAAAGCCCAGCACTTGGAATGTTTCATGCTGGCAAACAAGTGTTGTTTGAAGCTAGAAGCTGCGTTGCTGCTGAGAGCTTTGTGAAGATGCGCGGCGTCACGACCATGGGCCCCGTACTTCACGAATTCATACGAATGCATGGAGAAGGCAACCCAGAAGTACCAAGCCCATCACATGTCGACAGATTCAGAAGAAACTTGCAGGATCAAAAGCAACTTCAGGACATGGATCAAAAGGGCATGAATTGCCAATCTCCTAATCCTTTGGAACGCCAATCAGCTCTCGTTGCTCCTGGCCTTGGCCATAACATCATATCCACCGGGCATTCAAGCTTCTTAATATCAATCTAGCCGGCCATGCTTCCGACCCGGAAGCATTGAACTCTATCCTCACGAATCCAACCGCCAAGAAAATTGCACCCCAAACCTCGAAAAGCTAACCGCACTGGGAGGTCTTGCCCAAACGTAAGCGCGCTGGGCCACTTGCGGTAAAGACGATTAAAGAACCTTTGCCGTCGTGCAGTGCAGTCGTGCAGAAGGGCACTCTTGATACGTCAATGCACCCCCACTGAGTCGGTCCCGCTGTCGGCGATGGAAGACGGAAAGACGGCAGGTCCAGGTTGATTGCAAAGTATGACCGTAAAGAATAAAAGGCAAACTTTTTGGATGGTATGATTCCCATCTGCGATATGTGTTGCAAGTTGCCAACCATGACACAAGCAAGCACAGCTCGCTCACTCACTTTTGATCCGCGACACACGCGCTCATGAACGGTCCGACGGTCCCTACCAGCACTCGCGTACTTCCACCATCTTCCACCTCCCGTTTCCTTCGGTGACTTCCTTTGATCAGCCTTTCACTGACAGCCACAAACCCCAAGCAGCCACAATGGTTTCAGAGTAGATGGCACAAACCCCAAGATGTCCTTTAGATGAGGTTCCACACAAACCGCCTTTTGGGAACTGGGACTGTGCCATCTACTCTGAAACCACTGTATCTATCTTGCTCTCATCCATCGTCACCAGCAGCTACCTTCAGATTCCTGAGCGCGAAGCAACTCTGAGAATGCATCAAACAGCTCTGATCTGATCTGAGAATTCTGATTATCCACTTACATGTCCTTTTCCAGCTTCAAGGCACTCGACTACAGCTCAAATTGTGAAAGAACATCTGCATGGTGCACGATCTCGGAGAAAAAGTCTTGTCAACTTCTCTTTGACCGATCCAATAGATGGAGTTTTGTGTGATGGTTCCAGAACAGCGAACTCATATGGCTGCCACCCAGCCACCCAGCTTGCGACATCGCTGTGAGCACAGCGTGATCACTCCGGTCCAAGATTTCGTCAACAAACCTTAAACTGTGTCTTCTGAGCAACATGGGAATGCCAGTGTGGCATGGATTGAGGCAATCAAGGAAGTCAGCTATGTGTGACCGTATCAGGATACAAAAATCAAATGAACATCATTCCATGTAACCAGCAACTTGTACTGAGAAGGCGTACCACTCCAATTAAGAACCCGACAATTCTTGGCCTTCACCAGATTGGTATGGATATTGCTGGCGGTACTTCCTGGATGCTGGCGGTACGTGTCGAGCACGTAGAGACGTGTCGAGCCCTGCCCAAGTGGTTCTTTGGGAACGCTGCACACTGACCACTGCTTCCAGCTCAGCTTTCGTCGATTGAACACTGTTCTGGTTGACCCCTCCAATCAAAGATAAATCAAAGTGGGTTTAGCCAAGAGCCTAGAAAACCCTAGAAAACTCTAGTATGCTCCTGGCTAAAAGTGCCTTTAACCCTAGTTCAATCTTGAAAACTCCCCCGTCCCCTCTTGGTCCATACCGAAATTTTGATCTGTCCTGACGAAATAGAAGCTGTACAGCGGGTAGATAAGCCTTTCCAGTGCAGGTTGTCCTACCTCTCCCGGAAAAACATGGAAAAACATCTGAAAACAAAACTGAATGAAGTCTAGTCTGTTCATAGTCTATTCTACCTGTTGAGATTGGTTGTTTGAACTCCGTACTACAACTGCCCACAGAATGGCCAATGGATTCGGACGTCCATGTTGCCTTATTGGACGTTGTCCAGGTAAGACCAACAACTTGAAAAACATAACGGTCATTCCACTCATCTCGAGCCTCATGTTACTTGTTGTCGCTCATGTTACTTGGTGCCACACTCTACTCAATGGCAGAACGGGCAGAAATCGAGACTTGTTCCTAGTAACAAGGTTCGCTACTAGGAACAAGTGCATCGCTACTAGTAACAAGTGCCTTACTAGTAGTAACAAGAAG